AGAAAAAACGAGATTCGCGGAGGAGAGGAGTGTTTTGATGGAGTGATGGAGAGGAGAGCCTGGAGACGGAGCGGATGTCGTGACGTCATGAAGGGACTCTCTCTCTCGCTCTCGCTCTCTCTCTCTCTCTCCCTCTCTCTCTCTCTCTCTCTCTTCTGTGTTTTTCTGTCAATATGGGGTGCTGTGTGTACATTAATGAGGAAAAAAAATGAACTTAAATGATTTTGGCAAATGGCTGCAATATAACAAAGAGTGAAAAATTTAAGGGGGTCTGAATACTTTCCATACCCACTGTATATATATATATATATATAATCCTGAAAATTTTCATGACTATATTAGAATAAGGAGAATAAGCAAATGATCACTGAAAATTCTGGTAATTTTTATTAAATTCAAAAGAAAACATTTTAGTTACGAAAAAGGGGGGAAATGTGCTTAGTTCCAATGATAAAATAATATCAAATTATTAAAATATTTTAAAAAACACATCAAAATGGACACAATTACATAATTACTAAATTATATAAAATGACTAAAACTTAAACAAAATTTAAATACTGAAAAAATATTCAAATAAAACCTAATTCAGAATATTAAATCTATACATTAAATAACAAAAGTAAAACGTGGTGTAATACACTTAATTGCAATTATAAAATAATAACCAAAAATATCATCAAGAACTGCAATACGAATAAATGAAAGCTAAATAGAAATATTTTTCAAACAAATAAAAAATGGCAAAAGTATATCAAAAAGGGTGACATATACTGGTGAAATGGTGAATTATACCCAACATGTTTGAGGAACGCACCCTGTCAGATTGAGATTACTGACTGCTAGATTAGTTCTAGTGGTTTCCATCTCTAGTCCTCTGAGGATTAACCATCATAAATATTGCATTTCCATGGCATACTGTCAGAGCTATGGTGAAGTGCTAAGAGTCAAGAGAGGACCACTCATTTGGCAGTTGTGTTTATTGATTTCTGATTTATAAAAAATTCAACGGAAGAGCAATTTGTGACAATAATTATTTAGGATTTACAAAATTGAACCAACTGAACGTTTGAGGTTGGTTTGGGTTTTTGAAATGTATGTTAGGGTGTTTGTTCATAGCTGATCTTAAAAAAGCTATTCTAAAAGATTTATAATCTAAACTGTAGTTATTCAAAATACTCATTTAGAGAACATGTGATTAAAATCTTTATAAATAAATCAAAAAATATATACAAATGTTAGCATTAATGAGTTTATATTAGCAATTCGGCTACTGTGCAGTGTTTCTATGATGCATTCAGGTCAGCACAGACGCACCCTGATCCTAAGTACCGGTCCTGATATCACTAAGGTCAGAGGTTAGAGGTCAAATGTGAGTGACAAAGCCCAGACGGAGGCTGCTGGGCACCTGTAGGAGCTCTAGTGCTTGTGGTGAGGAGCAGAAGGGGAAGGTGACCTGGAAACAATACTGTGAATCCATCATCAGCTGAGACGACCCCTCGCGCTCCTGCAGCAGCGCCTGTTATCATAGAGACAAAACAAGGGCCAATCAGATCTGAGATCATTTCCCTTTATATTACCATTCAAAAGTTTGGGGTCAGTAAGATTTGTTTTTACAGAAATTAATACTTTTATTCAGCATTAAAGTGAACAAAAGTGAGAGTAAGTGACACTTATAACGTTGCAAAACAAATAAATGCTGTTCTTTTGAACTTTCTATTCTGGATACCCGTTGCCCTTCAACATTGCTCAAAAAGTTGCCCTGTGTATCATTAGCCTATGCCAGGATAAAACACCTGTACGCACCTGATCTGCATGTCCTTGCGGCAGGAGCACAGGTCAGATGCTGTTCACCGACGTGGATCCGATGAGGAAGAACAGCTGTCTTATGAGCTGGCCCTGCAGCTCCGGCTCCATGCTGGTGAACTGATGGTAGATGTTGATGGCGAGGTGCTCTGAAAGGTCGAATTTCCTCAGGCAGTTCTTGTTCTTCGTGTTCGTGTTAAGCTTCGTGAACTCCTGTTGATGCAGGGGAAATGAACAATCTCATTGGTTGGTTTCAGGAATGATACAGTAAGATATCTTTGAAAGTGTTGATGAATCAGGAAGTATAAATAGCATTTTATGGGGTCTGTGATAGCTGTCGGGAGGAAAGAGACACAGAAAAGGACTGAAAAGGTACTGTTTGAGATAGTTGAGGAAGTGATATGTGTTTGAGAGCCAGAAGGACAGAAGGTCAAAATTCAAAATTCTCCTGGTGGTTCTGAAATCAGAATCATCAGAATCATCATCATCTCTTTTTTTGCTTACAGAAAATTAAGCATGTTTACTATGTCAACTATTATATTTTTGCACTGACGTTATATTTTATTATAATTATTTAATTTTTGCATTTATTATTATTTTATTATTTATTGTATTGCTGTTTACATATTACTAATATATGTGTATAATAATACAATTTATTATTACATGTATTTATATTATTATATGATATGAATATGTATATACAGTGGGTACGGAAAGTATTCAGACCCCCTTCAATTTTTCACTCTTTGTTATATTGCAGCCATTTGCTAAAATCATTTAAGTTAATTTTTTTCCTCATTAATGTACACACAGGACCATGTGATATTTCAGTTTTTCTTTTTTAATAAATCTGCAAAAATGTCAACAATTCTGTGTTTTTCTGTCAATATGGGGTGCTTTGTGTACATTAATGAGGGAAAAAAATGAACTTAAATGATTTTAGCAAATGGCTGCAATATAACAAAGAGTGAAAAATTTAAGAGTGAGCAGAAGAGACTTCTCTCAAAAATTTTTATTCTTCCAAACTAGTAGTGTATTTAAAACAGAAGCCCTGGAGTGTAACATCATATCCTGTTGCCAGTATCTATCCAAAATATTTTTTTCATGTTTATAATCTAGTCTAATTCAGATGTGTTTGGCTCAGCGCTCTGATCTTAACCGGTTCTAAAGCTCTTGTTTGTGGCGGTTGAATTCTGGCACCTGCTGCTTCAGTTCTGGAATCACCTGCACACAAGAAGTCACCGTCATCACCAGGTGACATGCAAACAAACACACAAGTTACATAAATACACACTCTACCATGTTCTCTGCAGTGAGGCGGACCACTTCCTGTCCGATGCTTTGGCTGACGTCACTCTTCTCCTGAAAGAGAGCCTGAAGATGCTCGTTCTCTGTTTAAATGTTCGTTTTTGAAGACCAGAGCTTCTAACTGACACTCATAAGTGTCCTTCTGCTCCCGCAGCTGAGCTTCCATCACTCTGAGATAAAAGGACAGACAATTCGAAGCCAAAATAAACACTACGGTTTAAATGACAAACCTTTAGAGGTCATACTTAGCAGCTTTTTCCACAGTGTCAAAAGCAGGCAGAAGATCAGCTGCATCATCGTGATCTAAGGCTTCTTCATTCAGTCTGGAGTAAAAGAGACAACTTGATTAAAGCAAATCAAGACCAAATCAGCACAGACAATCCCAAGATTTTCACACACACCTTTGAATAAGATTTTCCCCTTTAGCTTCACCGAGCAGCTGCCTCGTGATCAAACTCACCTTAGCTGAGGGCATAAAATGGATAAAGAGGGAATTTGGACGAGTCATTCACACATAATGAAAAGACAGTCCATGGCAGTATGTTTTGAACCTCTGGCTTGTAGATTCTGAGCTCTCATGGTTTTATCAGCTTCAGTTCGCTGCATCTGCAGGCTGTTGATGTCTTTCCACAAGTCTGGTATGATTTTTGCATTTTAAACATTTATTTTGACTTTTAACATTTACATTAAGGTCCTTGTTAATGCCCACTGTTTAAAGGTCCCCCGAAGTGCCTTGAAACACGCAGAACTATTCTATGTGGTGACGTAATTTCAACTGAAACAGGAAGAGAGGGTGGGACATATCGAGCATTTTTAAAATAGCCAATAGCATTTTATTTATATCTGCTCGGGCCAGAGCTCAAGG